TCTACGGATCTATAATTGATGTTGGTGAATTGAAAGAAGAGGATAGTAAAATGGATGAGTATGGGAATCCTTATAGAGTCAACGGCTTGGTTTTCCAAATGATTAATGGAAGGTAATTTAGTAAACGTTACTTATGCTTAGTTATATTTTATATTGGAAAGCATGCTTATAAATTTGCCTAATTATATACAATGGACTGTAACAGGAATGAAAGAATTAGTTGTCATATTAGAGGACTAGGTGCTCATAACTTCTTAAGGGAGTGGAGGTCAAAGGGTTACAATATCACTTACAAAACACACCCGGTGTTTTGTGTCCTTCGATTTTGGAGAGTATCTACATATCACGGTAAAGAGAGTTTAGTTCTATTTGAATGTTTGTAGTTCTATTTGAATGTTTGAGATTTTACAATAGACGGATTAGAAAATATTATAATTTCCTTTGTTGTTTACTTTGTTTAGGTAAGCCCTGTATTACTAATGATGATGAAGGTGATAGTGGAGCTTCAAGGACATTTCTTAACCCAACCAATACTGGTCTAGAAAACCACAAGATAAGGTAAGTTTATACGTTTTCTTTTAGGCACATGGTTGTCCCATTGTTTTTTATTTTATATAGATTCTAACTAACTTGGATATTTGAATTGTAGCTCTGAATTTGCTGCAAACTACCATTTCAGAGTATCTTCCGAGGAATGATTACAAGATGGTTTCAATGCAGTTCTAGCATAGGATTAACATGGCCTGCTTATTAATGTATAGATGTTTTGTGTTTTGAAACCTTAATAGGATCAATATTTTGTTTCAGTTTGGATTTTGTTATATATAATGAATCATCGGAGATTCTATGTAAGAACGACTATGTGTTTATTCTTGATATTCTTGATATTTAAACATTTACAAATACATCGTTGATCTTTGAAAAATTGGCCGAATTTTTTAATTATCATTTTCAGTTTGGTCATTACATATTAATATTGATCATGATATAGTATTCATGTTATATTGAAAATTATAATACAGTTGGTTCATGTATGCACATTGTAAAATTCAGAATAAGACGTAACCAAATCATATCCATTATGAGCAATAGGTTCACAACATTGTTGCAATTTCAAATACAAAAAGCAAATGAAATATCTAGATATTTAGAAACAAGATTACTGATTACAAATACTACAATGTTGTTAATATCAATTCGTCTCTAAAATGTATATATTCTTCCCCTTAACCGCGGCGAAGCGCGGGTAACTTGCCTAGTCGATAATATAACCTTTATATATATTTTCTACACGTTTCTATGATCACATATATTTTTGCAAATTATTCATGGATGCTTGTAATCGAGTTAAGGCTCCACGCTACATATACTCATGTAAGTTTGAAAGTTTAATTCCAGATCAAAGTAACGCAACGAGTATCAAACACAGCATTAAGTTTGTTTAAAATAAATAATCAGTTAAAATTGTATTTTAAGCAAAGAAGAGAAAAGTCAAATCAACTTTAGGTTTCTCTACAACCAAATAACAAAGAAGCCAATATCTAATCAAACTAAACTTGTAAGTCTTCTCTTTGGCCTCGTGGAACCGATAGCAAACTTGGAATGAACGTACAGTGCAAAGGCCAAGATTCAACCACATCATCTAAACAAGTTTTACTGATCAACTTATCATCCCTCAAAACATAGATCCAAGCCTGACCAGTAGTGTAGTCGCAAGAGCAAACCACGAGCCTTTTATCTTCGATGAAGTAACTTGGCTTATAGTAGTATAAATGACTTGACAAAGTCATGAAATTCATCCAAACCACATCATCACCATTCTCATAGTTAATCTTGTTCTTGGTCACCCAAATCTCAATCTTCTTTGTGACAATGCATTGCTTTAGCAACGAAAACCGATCTTCCCTAAAGACCCCAAGGACAAGAGTATCTCCATCATGATTGTTTCTCCCACATGGTAGATCACAAAATCTATCGAATAATCCCCTCGAAAAATCGAATTTACTTAGGAAGTACAAGGGATCTTTATTAAAACTAACCCAATACAAAGTTCCATTCAAGGATACAACACTTTCAATGCATATTCTACTATTATCAGGTTTTGACTTACGGTCTAATCACAAATCAGAGGAAAATTCATAGATTGTCCACAAGTCAAGAGTAGGATCTTCTTTGGCAGGAGATGAAGCAGCCATCTTGTATTTCTTATTGTCGTATACCATACCGTAGAAACACATACAAGGATGTTTTAAACTCGGCTCGAACCATCTACTTTGTCCTAACCAAGGGTTCCAAACAACGGCTCCTCTCTTCTTGCCACATAGCAACAACTCATTGCAATCAACCACGTTTTTAAGTCCCAAAGTCTCTAAACCAGGTGTGTCTAAGGGTATCTCACGTACCACTATCACAGGATCGATGCTTACCGAATAAATCTTGCGTTTGGTTGCTATGATGAACCTAAACGTCATCTTGTGGTTGTTCAAGAACCTCTTGTCGTCGAAAAGAGTGTTCCATTGCTTAGATACGGCTCTGAAGCGAACAAGAACCTTAGGTGGGACACGAGAGAGTATCTCTTCGATCAATTCCCATGGAAGCTTCTCCAGATGCACCATCACTTCACGTAACTTAGGGTTTTCGCTTAGTTTTTTCTATCTTATATTTTAAAAAGTAACATAATTTTGTTAAAGATATATATTATATCATATGCTATTTGATATACTGAAAAAGCAAAAATAAGATCATCAAAGCAAAAATACAGTAAAACCTCTATAAAATTAATAATGTTTGGACCACGATAATATATGAATTTAAAGTAATATAAAATTTAGATTTATTATTATAATGTAAATTAATAGTTATTAGTTAATTTCCAGAGGTATTTTGTAGTTGTTTAAAGTTTTTTAAAATATAAATTGGTACAATTTTATAAAAATAAGATTCGTCTTTCAAATATTATAAGTTTTGTAGCTTAAATTTAAATTTTATATTTGAAAAATAAGATTGACAATAAATTACAAATATGATAGATAAATCCACTTATACAAATGATATACATATACATAAAAATAAGATTCGTCTTTCAAATATTATAAGTTTTGTAGCTTAAATTTAAATTTTATATTTTAAAAATAAGATTGACAATAAATTACAAATATGATAGATAAATTCACTTATACAAATGATATAATATATACATAAAATTCAAATTTATGATTAATAACCTCAACTGTTATATTTTACCATCCTATAAAACTAAACAACATGAATATGATGTATATTTAGAAATTGAAAACATATAGAAAATCTTGGTTATTTTCTTACTTAAATTAAGTTATAAAGTATGTCACCAGATTATAGTTTAAAAATATAACATAAAATTGTTTTATAGAAGCCAATGGGCAATTGATTTGATTCGGGCCAAGCCAGCTTAATGGACTCTAAAAGCCTATCAAATCAACCACTGGCCCATTAAATAGCACTGAACATTAGAGATTATATTAATCCCTAATTTATGAAATAAGTAAAGAAAACAAAAAAAATGGGGAAAACGAAGCGACGATACTGGTTACTCAAAACAGAGCCAAGTGAGTGGTCATGGTCAGACCAAGAAGCAAACAATGGAATCAGCAAATGGGACGGTGTCAAGAACAAACAAGCTCAAAAGAATCTAAAGTCCATGACTTTAGGAGATCTCTGTTTCTTTTACCATTCAGGAACCAAATCAAGATGCATCGTTGGTGTTGTGGAGGTATCACGTGAATGGTACACTAATGAAGATGATGATGAAGGAGCAGTAGATGTGAAAAGGGTTGGTGAGATGAGGAAATGTGTTGATTTGAAAGAGATGAAAAGAGACAAAGGGATTAAGGGTTTTGTTTTGTTTAGACAGCCGAGGTTGTCTGTTGTTCCTGTTGAGGAAGATGTTTGGGGAAAGGTTTGTGATTTGGGTAATGGGTTTTGTGGTGATGGTAAGGAAGATGATTGTGGAAGTTGTAGTGATGAGTCTTGAATTGGATTTGTTTGTTGTATGTGGTGTTGAATGGTAGTGATGCTAATGCTATTATGATGTTTTCTTCTAATTGTAATTTGTTTACTCGGAATATGAGTGAGGCATTTTGTCGAACATGTTGTGTGCAAGAAACTAGGTTAATTTTTTAATGATGAAAAAAGAGGTTATTTTTTAATATTTTTATTTAACCAACCATTAAAATCTCACGATTGGTCATATTTTTAGCTTATTATAAAGTAAAATTTTCTGTTTGCTAAAAAAAACACTTATTAAAATTTTGTCAAAAAATATGTAGAATATTTTAAAGTTGATAAAAATACATGAAAAATACTAAAATAATAAGATAAAATATTTTACATATGATTATATAGCCATAAAAACAGGGGATAAAATTAAGGTATAGAAAAAATAGAAATTACTATGATTATAGCCAGATTTAGTAATAAGATAGATCCGTATAGAATTATCAAAAAATTATAAAATATGTAAATGTAAGATAAAATAAATCTATTTAAAAATTGATTTTATGCTTCTAAATTATATTTTACATATTTTATGATTTTTTAAATAATTCTATACACGGTTTATTATATTATTAAGCCAAACAAGGCTATAATCATAGCATTTTTTTTTCTTTTTTTCTATACCTTAATTTTATTTTCGATTTTCAAATTTTCGTTGTTAAAATTTTGTTATGATTAAAGATTCAGAGAAAAATAAAAAAAACAAATCGTATTTACCACTAATGTTGTTAAATATTTAAACCACGATAGGTAAATGGAAATAGTTATATTTATTTTATCAGTTATAAATAATTTTGCTTATTTTTCTGACAACAGAAAATATGAGTACTATATATTAGATCTTTTACAAAATTTCCTTTTTTATAAATAACATCAGTAATTAAAAAAATTTAAAAACATTTTCTTATAGACAATTATTATTTTCGTGGTTGTAAAGTGTAAACATACAAAATTACAGAATATATCCAGCGAACATATAATCTGACGAAAGGAGACATTTTCTTGGAGTCAATTTCGAAGAAGAAAAAGGTACAATCACTTTCTCTCTGATCTTTTTATCTCAATTTCAATCTTTTCGATTCATTTCCGAATTGTCTCTCAATTTGAATGATTTTCGATTTTATGAGTTCTGGGTTTTGTTTTTATATCTTCTAAGCATCACATCTGCTCAAAAGTCTGTAAATTTCCAGTAAAGTTCTTTACTTTTTTTTAAAGTTTTGATCTTTCTGCAGATACAAACATATGGATCTTAATTTAGATGAGACTGAGATTCTTAAGGCTCGGATCAAACAACTTGAACTTGGTACGTTTTCTCAATTTCTCAACTGCAGTTTCTTTTGTGTGAGTTAGTAGTACAATTCTCTTGGTGGTATGTAGTTATTTAGACCCTTGGACATGTTTCTTGGCTTTGTAGCAATGCTTTTTAGTCTTACTTTTACTTCTCTGAAGCCTTCTTGAAGTGTATCTCTGCCTCTTCAGATGCAAAAGATGGTTCCTTTTAGTTATCTACTTGTGTTTTCTTCTTAGAATCTTGAAATTGAGTTATTTATAGACAATGGGAATGACCCTTTCTCTTTTGGGTTATGTACTTTTTATATGTTCATTGCTACTGTGTGCGTTATGCTTGTTAGGAGATATTATTTGTCATGGTTTTCTTAGACTCCATGTTATTTCTGTATCTTGATTACCTGATATAGGTTGAGTATGACCATAGTATTTTTTGACTACAGAGCGTAATGAACTACAGAAAGATATTGAACAGTTGTGTATGCAACAAGGTGGACCTAGCATTCTTGGTGTCGCTACTCGGATGCATTTCCAGAGGTATCCTGAATCCTATCACACTTTCCGATTAGAATTAAGTTCGATATTCAGCAATTATAAAGATAACTTTATTTTTTCGTTCACCTCATAGCAGAGTTCTTGTTTTCTTTCTATCCCACTTCCTGATTAGATGTTAAGTTCGTTATTTAGCAATTGAATGCTATCTTATTTTTCCGTTCGCCTCATAGATTTGTAGCTAAATATATGTTAAAATGGTATTGGATCTTACTTTAATAGGACAGCTAGTTTGGAGCAGGAGATAGAGAGCTTAAAACTGAACTTGGCTGCTTGCACAAGGGCGAAACACAATCTTCAAGAGGAGCTTGCAGAAGCTTACCGTGTGAAAGTGAGTATCTTTGAAGTTCTTAAGAATGAAATGCTTTAGATTTTAAGGATCTCCAGAAGGAAATGCTTATAAGCTATCTCTATAGGCTCAGTTAGCAGATTTACATGCTGGAGAAGTAGCAAAGGTATCTCTCATTTCTTACTAATTTTCTAGTCAGCTTTATTTTGTACTTGTAGATCATATCCTCCTAACATCTGGATATTCTGATGTATTCTTTTACTTCCAGAACTTGGAAGCAGAAACTCAGGTTAGATATTTCCAGGGTTCTGTGGCTGCTGCTTTTTCTGAAAGAGATAAATCAGTAATGGAGGTATGAGAATTCTGTACCAGTCTATGGGAAGAAACAAATGAAATTTTAAGAACGTATTCTTACATACGCTTTTATGTTTTCCCAACTTTTACCAGGCTGAGAAAGCTAGAGAGGACGCTGAAATTATGTCTCAGAGACTTGGTGAAACTGAGATGCGGTAATTGTGACACTGTTCACCCTTTTACTAATTTCCCTTTATATAGACAAAAAGATTACTGCATCTACTGATCTGAATCTCTCTTAGAAGCCATGCACTATAACTGTTCTATGAAAACTTTCTGCCCAGATTGGATGAACTCAGCTCAGATTGTCTTGTACAGAAGAGACTACATGACACATTGCAAGCTGACTTGGCAAAACTTGAAGAACAGACTAGAACATATGCAGAAGTAATTCTTTTGCTCGTCTTAACAAAGTTCAACCCTGATAGTCTTTCACTTTTTCTGCCCCGTATTTTTTTCTCATAAAAGTCCACAACTTCCGATCTGTTTTTTTGACCTCCCTCAGGTGTTGACCTTTCTACTCACTTTTTCTCAACCTGTTCAGGTGATTGAGAAGTTCTATGATATTCGTAAAGCTTCGCTCTCTGTGTCCCTTGACATGAGTTTGGACGATAAGTGTGCAAGTTTATTGGATGATCCTATAGAATCATGGACTTTCAATGATCCTTCAACATCAGAATATGTAGTAAGTTTCTGAGAACATCTCTGATTTCTTTATTTCGTGGACACAATCTCAGAGTAAAGCTACTTATTTCGTTGTTTGAGTGTTGACGGTTCACCATTGACTAGTATAGTTCGTTCAAATAGAAGGTTTCAGCAAAATGAAATTTGTGCAAAAAATTGGTCTACAATTAATTGTCTGATTTCCATAAATTTCTGGTAGTAAAGTCAAAATTATGCAATATATTGAGATTTTGTACTTAGCAACAATGTAAAAGTTAGCGTTTACAGAATTTACAGGAGTTTTGGTTTGTTTTAGGTTACTTCTATATGGTTCTTGGGACTTTTTAAATATTGAGACTTTTTGAAGGCAGAGACAATCAAATCGGCCATTTTTAAATCTAAGACTTTATTTGCGTCATATATATACTTTATTACTCTAAATTCTGAATCTCATATTCTTTTCCGTCAACCACACAAAAGAAAAGGCATAGTTAGATTGAAAGAAACAAGGAAGATAGATAACTTCTAGGAAATATAAGTGTATTATTATATGATGATTTGTTGTTTCGATCTGCTATTTGAACAACTCTTTTCAGACAGGCTGCATTGGAAGGAGAGTTGAGATCAGTTAAGAACAGTGTGGATAATCTTCAGAGTAAATTACGAGTGGTATATATTGTTTCTTTCCTCATCTGTTCATCTTCAAGTATTGAGAACCTAGATGCAGCATTCACTAAACAGCTGATATTTGTTACTCTAGGGCTTAGAGATTGAGAATCATTTGAAGAAGAGGGTTCGTGCGTTGGAAAAGAAGAATGTGAGTACTCAATGCATAATAATTCCTGAATTCGAGAATTATTAATCTTACCCTTTGAGGTGTCACTATTAACTTGCATACAGATTGTTGCAGATGGGCTGATCGTTAATGGCATTACAGATATGCGCCATCATCATTCTCAACTGAGGGCCTTCATCATTGATTTACTTAAAGAGGAAGGGCTATACATTAAATCGATTTCCAAAAATCTAGAAGAAAAACTCAAGCTTCACTCATCGGAAGTACAAAATGTAGTGCTACCGCAACATGATTTGAAGCCTGATGAATCTGAATGCCGGGATGTGCATATAAACACAGTTGTTGAATCTTGCCAAGTAGCTAAGGTGTGAGCTGGCAGATTTTGCAAAAACAAAATCCTCTTTTTGGTTTGGAATTTACGTCATTATATTTTGAGTTTTTCTAGGAAGGCATAAGTTTGGATTTCTGCATTATTCGTTTGGTTAGCGTAAACTGACACCAATGCCTGCACGTGGTAGTTTAAGATTCGTAGATCCTAATTCCTCAACCTTAATTGGCATTATCTTTGTCCTTTTTTTTGCGAACAAGCTTGATCTAATATAATGAGAAAGTGGTTAGAGCTTTTATTTGAGAATTGGATCATTACTGTCTCATACACTTTGTCATGTTTTTTTGGTTGTAAGAGCGTTTCTCTTTTGAATGCAGCTTGTGGAACCTAGTATCGCCAAAATCATGGCTGAAAGTAGAGGGGATGCATCTGAAGCCCTTGCACAAGCATTACAAGAGAAGGTTATTTCTTAGTTTTAGTGATACAAGCAAGAAATTATAAAATTTTTTCTCATTTCTTAGTTGATAAGAAGCAAGAAAACTGTGGCTGTTGATTAGTCTTCAATGTTTAATGGAAGAATCAACTTGTGTGTCTCTTTTGTTCCTATCTAGTCATTTGGAGTTTCATGTATCATTTTCTTTTTGCTGTCATAATGTGTATTTTTCAATCCTTTTTGACGTATAATCAGGTTGGAGCTCTGTTACTTTTATCACAGCAGGAAGAGAGACATTTGCATGAAGAAAATGTCAATGCAGCTCTCCAGCAGAAAGTAGATGAGCTTCAAAGGAACGTCTTGCAGGTTTTTTCAAGCTCTCAAGCTAGAAAAAATATAATCTATTTGATTCATACAACCAGTACTGAGTCATCTTGAATATTCTTTTAGGTTACCAATGAAAAGGTGAGAACCCTTATGGAGTTAGCACAACTACGTCAGGACTATCAGTCGCTAAGAGAGTACGGTACCATCCTTGCTCATAACCTTTCCATCAGATTTGTCCTAATTTTTTTTTGCCTGAAGTTCCTTTTCTGGTGCTTACATGTTCATACACAATATATTCTGGCTGTGTGCTACTACTCTCTTTATCATTCTGTCTCCTCTTAGGTTATTTCCGTTACTTAAATAGATTGTATTATGTGCAATTAAATACATAGTTGATGATATTAGAGGTTAGCTATTGCACGTTCTATAGATCGTCTAAGCAGTCTTTTGAAATCATTTTGCCTCTATCTTCTGTTCAAACTACGGGGTTTTCTTTGTAATACTGTTTTCTTGTACCTGCCATGCTAGTGACATGTCTCAGGGATGATAATAAAGCCAGAAAATCTTCTGTTATAAATATGTCACTTTTGGGTTCTGAGTTTTACGTAGAGGACAAATGTTACATTCCTCTGAAAATATTATATCCTTGCCAGCAAAATGAGTGGTGCAAGAGAAGAAGAAACGACAGGAAGCAGTGGCAAGATATTTATCACCAATGAGAAAGAGGGAAGACTAAAGAATATGTGGAAGAAGTCTTACTTAAATCGTTGGATTGACCCAAGTGCAAGAGGCGGAGGTCACGTGAACACTGAAGCAGATTATGCCAGTAACATTGATTATGCAAGGTTTGTCATCCCTACATTACATTGGCAAATATTTTATATTTGTGGTTTCTTTTGTTTGTTTAATCATGCTTGGAAACATCTGCGGTCGATTTTTCTTGTATTGACAGAATGAAAGTAGAATACGCAGCTATAAAAGAGAACCTTGAAAGCCTGGGACACTTGACGACTACAATACGCAGACTTCGTCTTGCGCTCTTGAAGGTAATTTCAGCACACTTAAGTGATATGGACTAAGTTCTTGGTTCCTTCCTGTTAGGACAAATTTTAGTTGTTCTTATTTTACAGGTAAAGGAAGAGAATGATACTGAAAGAACTGAGAGAAGACGTGAAGTAGCTATTGCCAACATCCTTGTCGAGGCAACCCATTTGAAGACTGCCCTTGGTATCTCCATACCCATTAGCTGGTCGGCTGAATCAGACATGGATCCAGTCACTGACGGTGAATCGAGCTGTGAGAAGACTGATTCTGTTTCTGCTGCAGGATTTGAGATGGTGGAACTTGTTATTCTAGCAGGCGAGATAATGAAAGAACAACACCATTGAAATTCATTCTTCAGTTTGCTACCAGTATTTTGAGTTGGTCCTGTGCATATGATTTATTGAGAATCCTTTCATTAACTTTAATTCTTCTTTAGTCGTTAGGTTGGTTCAGTATTGTGGATTCTTAAGCATTCCTCTATATATCTTTTACATAATCCCTCAGTATAATACAACTATGGTTCAGTTCTCAAGCATTGATTACAAGTTGAACCTCTTGGTGATGACCCATCTCCTTAGTTACCTCCAAGCTGAAACTGGTGGACAATGTATTCATTGATGGATTAGTTACAGTCACTGTGTAATGTCCATGCAGCAGGGAAATCTCTGGAGAAAACCTGATTATTTGACCTTCTTCTCCATCATTATGCTCATGGTTTTTGATAGGAATCTCTGCAGGTTCTTGTTTCCACTCTTGGAGCAGCTTGTCAATGAGATCTCCTGTTTCTGTGTTGTTGAAATCTTTATCGGCAAGTGTCAACTTGCTGAAACCGGACACCTCAGGCCCTGCATATATGATTATGCCTTCAACCGCAGGATGCGAGTAAGCTTCCCTCAGAATATCTTCCATGTATCTAACCTATCACAGGAAATGAACTTTAATTTGGCTTGCTTATTATGTTATGATAATTTCAAAGTTTCAAACCAGCCAAGTGTGCATTGCATATATACCTGATCCGGGCACTTGGCCATATCAACCTCTGTCAGCCAGACTGGAAACCCCAAAGAGCCTAAAGTATCTAATGCCGATCTCATGTAAACCAAGTTGGGCTGTTTTGGAGCAAAGTGACCTTGTGCTCCAATACCTCCTTTGATTTTCATGTTTCCCGAGTATGAAACAATCTCTTCCATCTTCTTCTTCACTTTTACCGGACTCCCATTTCCGTCTTTAGCATATTCTATTGTGTTGAACTCGTTCAGAAACAACGGTATATCAGGATCAAGCTTGGATGCCAAAGAGTAGAAAATAGCTGAAGCGTTTTTCCCAAGCATGTCCTCAAAGTAGCTAAAATGCACATTCTCATTCATCACATCCCATCCAATTACTCTCCCTTTATATCTCTTCATAACGGAGTTAATCCGGTTGATTGTCACATTCTTCAAATCTTCAGGATCTGTTATCTTCTTAACCCAATTTGGCTGCCAAGTCTTATCATCCCATAGGACTGTATGTCCTTTGACTAGAATCTTGTTTTCCTCTGCAGTACTCATCATTAAATCAGCCAGTGAGTAGTTCTCTAGGCCTCTCACTGCCTCATTTGTATACCATTTCATTTCATTGGTAAAGGAAGTTAGCCTAAACCGTGACACAAACCATTCTCTATAGCTATCACTTTCCAAGATTCGGTAGTTCATAGCACAACCAAGAAGGAATGATGGTTTGATCTGTTCTATGGAAATCACTGATCCTTTTAATGCGCTTTCGTTCTGAAAAATCATTTGAAATCTCACTTTGTTCTTCCGAATCTGCGGTTTTTCTCAAAGACTTAGATTGTTTCAAACGCTAAGAAAACGTTTTCATCATATATACATACATATCACCTTCTCAATGACTTGGTCTTGTTGTAGCCTCCACTGAGTTTTGTTGAACCCTTGCAGCCTCACATTTTGTACAGATATCTCCGCGGTCGCTAAGCCATCGATCTGCCCCGTGTAAATCCATACATTAGTGCTTGAAAACCTCTACAAATGGACACAAATATACGTTCTGTTTACCTCAAAAATAATGTCCAAATGGCCTGTAAAATCCGCGGTAATACCGCCTTTAAGCAAAGACCAGCATCCCTTTTTCGCCATAACTTCCCCTCCGTAAACGTTTCTACCATTCTTTCCCTTCAAAGCCATTCCTACTTTTCGTTGATTCTCATTTCTCAACTTCACCCAAGCTGGTTCAAGACACTTTAAATCATAACGTATTACACAAGAAACACCAAAAACCCTATAACAATCCTACCAGAAATGCTGTATATGTTGCCTTCCTCAAGATCAACACTCTCCACTACATTTTCGTTGATCTTCAATTCTTTGAATCCTTCTCCAGTTTTAACACTCGATTGTGGAGGCTCAGTGAAGCACTTTCTCATGAAATTACATAGGGTAAAAATTTTATGATCTCTTAAAATTACAAAAATAAATGAAGTTATAAAGATGTTTTTGGTGTTGTACCTCGGATGTTAGAGACTGGTCGTAGGAGAAAGGATCCATGCAAAGCACTGAACCCAAAAGTGCAAGAAGAAGACTAGAGATAATATAAGCCATTGTTGAATCTCTTCACGTTTTCTTCTGACAACTCAATAACAACCCAATGATATATGTATGAAGAGTCTTGGGAGATTACACTATACATTATTAAATGTTACATAGTTCATAAAAGGTATTACTTTCTTTTTTTAGTTAATTCAAGATGAATAAGTATAACTTATAATTTGCTTATCTACATATTATAATTCAAGAATATGTGAATCTTTTATATTCCATGAAAAGAAAAATTTCCGTTATCAATTTTAATGGTTTTTATTAAGTTATTTAATTACTACTTTTTTTTTTTGAAATGTTAAATTAGTTTTAATGCATTTAGTGATTAAAACCACAACTGAATGCTATACATTTTTAGAATACCATATTGAGAACAAAAAATCAATAAAAAATTACATATTGATCGAATTATATACATAGTAATTGTATTAACTTATAAGAAAAATTCAAAATATAACTATACAAGAAAAAAACTCCAAACCCCTAAAATTTTATAATGGTGAAACGATACTTTTGATGGTATTATTTTATCTAAAAATAACCTTTTTAGCGAAAGTTGCATAATCGAAACTTGAACTAAAGAAAGAAAGATGAAATATGAAAAACATGAACTCAAACTTTTTTAAAAATGGAAAAAATGTGATTATAGACTTATAAGTATGCATGGCCGGTCATTACCTAAAGCATAACAAACATGTTTGGAACTACATCTTCTAAGCAAAGCTTTCTTTCAAGTGTTTGAGTTCTGTAATAATTACTTATCAAATGCCTTTATATTTGAAAAACGCATAAACAATAGATCCAGTGAAACCCAACACTTGGCCCAAGACGTTTACCTGCATTACATCCAACATTTTGATCAGTGATGATCACATCATTTCCATGCTTGTCTCATGAGATGATGCAAATTCATTTATAAGATAAAAGTAAAAAATTAGTTGAGAAAAGTTTAGTATATAAACTCACCAAATCAAATGGAAGTCCAGCAAATATAAGCCAACCTAGTGTAATGGTAAATAGATCCTACATTGCATATCATTTATGGTTATCAATAAAATGACATTTGCGATTGGAATTTTGTGCAAGAACACTATATATACTCAAATAGAGAAAAGTGTGGTTTATGTAATTGAACCTAATCCAAGAACATGAAGAAGTACCTTCAGATTACCACATATTGAATGTGTTAGTGCAGAATTAAGGGTTGTGTTGAGGAACACAAAGTAATTTATCAAGAAAGCCAATATACATGAAAGACATATCACCACCTACAAAACATTTAAAACCAAAATTATTGATCCATAAAACAACTTTTCATTATTTTAAGTTGTGTACTTTTTTTTTGCCTGTCATTATAATTTGTCGTTATTTCAGGTGGTGACTATCACCACCTGAAAAGAATAAGAATAATAATAATAATAATAGGAAAAAAAAATGTTATAGATTAGGTTTACGCGACCATGAAGTATCCACTTGTAAATATCTATATGTTTCGCATTCTTGTAGATATTTAAAGAGATTGGTATAAACTTTCTTACTAATTAAAAGATTAACCCAGAAAAAAAAACAATAGTAAAAAGTACCTGAAAGCCAAGAGAGTAGAGATGAGGAAATGATAACATGGCTTCGAGTTCACCTTTCACAGATGTCCATAACAACAAAAATGGAATGCAAATGATTCCTGTTAATGTTAAAGAAGATGAGATCAGTTTAAACCTATGATTACAACATTTCTCTATAGAGCAAATGATTTGTTCTTTGTATTACCATTACACCACATTAGTCCAAAGATGTTGAGGCCACTAGATTTGCCTAAGAATATGTAGGAAACAAACAAAAATATGAAGAATGCAATATAATAAAAGTAGAACATAATGACTAGTACTCTCAATCCCGAGAACAGAGCATGTTATATATAAGATGCGAGAAATATTTACCGATACGTGCAATTAAAGCAAGGTAAGTCGCGGTACATATATTTGCTGTGAACACTAGTCCATACCCATAACCATCAAACGATAAGTCTCTTATTCCAGCGATTAGAGCTCCTAATATTATTATCCCCACGCTGAAAAAACGATTTGAAATTATACGTATCGCGAATTTGGTAAAACAAAGCTTACAACTATCGATGATCACGACACATTATAATTGAAGAATTTTAAGTATGTAATTACCTAAAGATGATTGAAACTGAATGTTTTTGACCAGAAAGAAAATATTCCATAACCATGGTAAAAAATATCGTAGTTCGCCGTAGCGTTGTGTACATTGGGACATTGATATTGCGTACGGACTCCATTGTTACAAGCTGTAATTAAAGAAAAAATAATAACACAAGAATTAAAATGTATGTTTTGTGAGATTAATTGAAGAACAATAAGTTACATTTAGAAGAAAAAAAAAATTATTGCATACCATATAAAATAGATATGTGAAAGCAAGAGGGATCGTCTGAAACAACCGTTTTGTTGAAACAAGAGTAAACAAATTGTTCTTGTTGTGCTCACTCTTTGATCCATCATTATTGAAGGATATGATTTTGAAATATCTCATCACATACAAAATTAAACAAGAAGAAAGCATCTGCAGCACAAAGAAAACATATATGAAAACAATCTACATACAAGTTTTTTTTTACCCGAACCGAAAATATTGAATCAAACAAACCGAGATTTTTTGGATTTTGGTTTGGTGTCGGTTAAAGGAAGAAAATCAATAGGAAAGAATTATAATATGCGCTCGGTTACTGGTTCGGGTCGGTTCAGCTTGCTCTAACCAACCCGTTACCCAAATTTAAGCAAATTACCCGCTTTACCATAAATTAACAGAACTAAAGCAACCCGATATAACCGAATTACATGTATTACCAAAAGTAAACCTAGTTTACCCCAATTAACCGAGATAATTAACCCGATATAGCTAATTTAACCAAAAACCCAAAATATTGGGTTCATTTCGGTAAGGAAAAAAAAAACCGAAAACCCAATACCCGGAACGTTATGTAATTCGGTTATTTTTTATAACATTTCTCAAATTCCGAACTACCCGAATATCCAAATTACCCGAGTTATCCAACCCGACCCAAAGTCACAGGCCTATATATACATCATACAGTGAAAAGTAATTAGTCAATTACCTGAAGTAGAGTTATGACATTTGCACTTGGAAATCTGTATGAAGAAAGTGCTGCTTTATTGAACATTACCAATAGAACTGCCAAAGTAACATGGATTTAAAACTTATATCATATTCTTGAAACAAATCATAAGAGATTTTAAAGAATCATTAGAACATATCAAAATGTGATTAAGATATATTTATACCAGCGGATGCCTGATGATGATAAAGAAGCTCTCTCTTTTTTTGTGTCTTCTTCATCTTTCGTTGATGGATCAACAACAATTGTTAACATCTCTTTCTCTGTTGACATATCTTATCTCTGTTGTTCTTTTCAGTTTTTACACTTTTTTGTTTTTGTTTTTAATCACTCAAATATCATAAAAGCTGTTAGATATATATATATCTAAAACTACTATCTATGTGTATTGAAAGCTGATACATGCATGAAATGGACACATATAAAAGCTCTATATCTAGAAACTTTTGATTTTTGCCAATCTATGATCATTTCCCAACAAGGAAAGGTATATTTTTTTAACTTTGTTTTTTTTTTTTTATTTTATCTTATACCAAATTTAAGGGCTTTTACACTTTGTTACACTTTGTTTCTTTTATTTAATTATAATAAAAGGAAAACTTATATATATATATATATACATGGTAACTTATATATACGAAATTTCTTGTAATTATAAATAAAGATGTACTGTATAAAAAAAAATTCAAAAATTACGAAAGAGAGGACGAGTTATGCTTTTGATGGATTTTTTTTTTCATCATATAAATAAATATTTAACAAATTAAATGTATTTTGTTTAATATATAAGATAGAAACTAAACGAAACCCTAATAAGTTAGGTAAAGAGATGACACATCTAAAGAAAAAAGGTAATTAAAGAGATAGCTCTCTCGTGTGCCACCTAAAGTTCTTGTTCGATTCAGAGCCGTATCTAAGCAATGGAACGCTCTTTTCGACGACAAGAGGTTCTTGAACAACCACAAGATGACGTTTAGGTTTATCATAGCAACCAAATGCAAGATTTATTCGGTAAGCATCGATCCTGTGATAGTGGTACGTGAGTTACCCTTAGGCACACCTGGTTTAGAATCTTTGCAACTTATAACTTTGATTGATTGCAATGACTTGTTGCTATGTGGCAAAGAGAGAGGAGCCGTTGTTTGGAACCCATGGTAAGGACAAAGTAGATGGTTCGAGTCGAGTTTAAAACATTCTCGTATGGTATTCAATGGCATAATATGCGACAATAAGAAATACAAGATGGTTGCTTTTACCCCTAGGAAGGAATATCACACTAATGACTTGTGGACAACCTATGACTTTTCCTCAGATGTGTGGATAGACCACAAGTCAAAAACTGGTAATGATAGTAGTAGTAGTATAGAATCTGTTAGTGTTGAAACTGCTGTATCCTTGAATGGAACTTTGTATTGGGTTTGTTTTAGTAACAAGAACGATCCCTTGTGCTACAACATTTCTAAATTCGATTTTTCGAGCGAAACATGGGATACTTTTTGTAATCTACCATGCGGGAGAAACCATGATGGAGATGCTCTTGTCCTTAGGGTCTTTATGGGAGATCTGTTTTCGTTGCTAAAGCAATGCATTGTCACAAAGAAGATTGATATTTGGGTGACAGAGAACAAGATTTACTCAGAGGATGGTGGTGGTGTGGTTTGGAAGAATTTCATGACTTTGTCAGATCCTAACTTGCCGGATTTAGTAGAGACTGTACGCTACTATCAGCCAAGTTATTTCATCGAAGGTAAGAGGCTTGTGGTGTGTTCTTGCGACAACACTGGTCAGGCTTGGATATATATTTTGGGGGATAATGAATTGATCAGTAAAACTCGTATAGATGATATGGTTAGGCGTTGG